ATCCCACCATTTCTCTTTGACAAGCAATGGATTCAACAAAACTTTTATGGCAACTTTTTATTTCTTATTTTTAAACTTAGAAAGCTAGGGAGAGACATGAATCTAAACAAAATAAGACACATTAACATTAACAACCATAGAAACCAATGGAATCACCAGGAGCATATCACTTTATTCATTTCACAATGCCTGTACATTTTTTTTTAAATCCATTCTCCAATTATTTGTAATTCTAACAAAATGTTTTGCTGTTCTTTTTTAGTCAAGTTTGCACTTGAGATTGGCACAGGAACTAGGAGATGGGGCCATCTTTCTATGACTCTGATTTTTCACAATTTATATTGGGTAAAAATTTTTACTGAGATTTATTGGAGAGACGGGATGTTCCAAAAGCTTTTTGAAAATTTTTTTAAATTACATATCCATAAAACATCAGAGCATGGATTTTTAAACCTGTACAACTTGGTAGTAGGTAGGGGAAAAAATTAAAGTAGGTTAAACATTTTCTGGCCCCAGATAGGTTTTTAGCCCTTCACTTTCCAAGTAAAGATCTAAAATTACATGTAAAAATACAGATACACACAGACATACAGATACACACACACTGACAGTCATACACATGCGCACTGACAGACATGCAGATACACAACACACACTGACGGAGATAGAGATACACAACAGACATACAAATAACAGATACTCACTGCCACATACACACTCACTGACAGACGTACAGATACACATGCTGGTCAAAACATACACTTTCATAGCCACCCTCCAGTTTCCCATCTTTTGTGTGCTGGAGGGTGGCTTCCCTTGATTTCAGTCTGCAGGCTGAGGCTGTTGGGGGTTAGGGGTTGACTCTTGCAGCCTGTACACCCTTCTCTCCTGCCTTCTCCTCTGCTCTGTCCTTTCTGGCCTGGCCCCCTTTTCTCTGCTTCCTCCCCCCGCCCGCATGGCTCCAGTCTCTCTAGGAGGAAGCAACAGTCTGTCACTCCCTCCCAGGCTGCATGGTGCTCGGTCGCGCTGTTAAAGGGCCCAACGCCCGACTGGGCCCCTGCTGACACATGCCCACTGGTTGGCTTAAAGAGCATGGGCCACCCGATGGGCCCACTTAGTGTGTGGCCCAAAAATCCTTTGGTGGGCCGGATGTTGTGCAGAGGAACAAATTTCAGTAGTCAGCAGTTACTCATATAATGCCAGTCATATAATGCCAAATTTCTCAGCCAGAAACCACTAGTTACTGAAAATGTAAGCTCACCCCCTGCTTTCAAAATATACAGGAAGTTTCAATGGGTAATTTTATTCCTACAGTTGGGCTGGAGGGGGGTGGAATTTATAATTTCACTGTCTAATTACGTTAGCAGTCCAAAGACTGATAAATGCTGCTATAGCAGTTTTAAATGCTTTTAGTTTGCAAATATATTATTTAACTGTAGTTACGGTTTGTGGGCATGGGCAAATCCAAACATTTTTGCATTTTGTCGATAGTTTTCCCAAGCTGTACTACTACGAATGCCTTCAGGGACCTTGCAAATACATATAAGTAAGGTAATTGAGCATTTTTTTGGTCACATTTACTGTGTTATAATAATTGCATGTTTGCCGTTATACTAACATTTTAGACCCTGTGTGAAATATTGAAAAATAAATTACGCTGTATTCTGTCTAAAGCTGTTCATTTCCCAAATACTTTTTATGAAGGATGAATGAATAAGTGAATTAAAAAGTGTAAATTTACATAATTAGATTTTTTTAGTTTTTTCTCAGAGCAATCCATACACAAAATGGCTGTGTTATGATATGTTTATTATGTTAGCTATGCATCCCTTGCTCCAAGTAAATGTTATGCTAATAATTTTTTTTTTATTTCATTTTTTATTATTTTTTGAAAATTTAACACAATAGACAATAAAAGACTTACATTTAAAAATATAAACAAAAGACAATACAACAATAAATACATTCCGACAGTTCTAGCACTCTAAGATACCACATTTTTAATTTATTACCCTTAATTATCACTATATTTATAAATTAGACGACATACCAAATTTAGTCTCTTCACTTCGACTTGAGAGGACCTTAAATAGTTATTCACTGTCTATGACAAACCATGTAAACATAAAAACATACAAACATAAAGTCATACTGTGCCAAGATCTATAAATCCTGACAGATAGTGCCTTACTATAGGGCTTGATATTTTCCCATTTTCTCTTACTTTCTCTCTTTTCTTCTCCCTTTTTTTTTTAATGCTAATAATTTTTTTAAATCAAAAAGTGCTTGGCAGTAAAGGGTACTCACATTCAGGGACGTATTAGCCGCGAGGCAAACAAGGCATTTGCCTTGGGCGGCATTTTCCAGGGGGCGGCAAAAAAAGCCGCCCCCCCAAATGCCCAGGGCAAATGCCTAGTTAGCCTCGCGGCTAACAGACATGCTGGGCGGGCGGCTGGCGAGGGAGCTCTTCCTCTGAGTGGTCTGCTCAGCTCCCTCGCGCGCCGCAGAGTGAGGCTAGGAGCTGGAATATGACGTCATCAACCCGGCTCCCAGCCTCACTGTGCAGCGCACGAGGGAGCTGAGCAGACAACTCAGAGGAGGAGCTCCCTCGCCAGCCGCCCGCCCAGCGCCGCCCGCCCAGCCCGACCGGCAGCCACTGGACCACCAGGGAGAGAGAGGACCCAAAGGTAAGGAGGCTGGGGGGTGGGGGAGGTTAAATTTAAAAAAAGTGTTAATGTGAGTGATTGTGTGTGTTTGTGTCTGACTGTGTGTGTGTGTGTCTGATTGTGTGTGTTTGTGTCTGACTGTGTGTGTGTGTGTGTCTGACTGTGTGTGTTTGTGTCTGACTGTGTGTGTGTCTGATTGTGTGTGTTTGTGTCTGACTGTGTGTGTGTCTGTGTGTGTGTCTGACTGTGTGTGTGTGTGTGTGTGTGTCTGACTGTGTGTGTGTTTGTGTCTGACTGTGTGTGTTTGTGTCTGACTGTCTGTGTGTGTCTGATTGTCTGTGTGTGTCTGATTGTGTGTGTTTGTGTCTGACTGTGTGTGTCCTGACTTTGTGTTTGTGTCTGACTGCGTGTGTGTGTGTCTGACTGTGTGTGTGTTTGTGTCTGACTGTTGTGTGTGTCTGTGTGTGTTTGTGTCTGACGTGTGTGTGTGTGTTGTGTCTGACTGTGTGTGTGTGACTGTGTGTGTTTGTGTCTGACTCTGTGTGTGTGTGTGTGTCTGACTGTGTGTGTGTCTGTGTGTGTGTTTGTGTCTGTGTGTGTCTGACTGTGTGTATCTGACTGTGTGTGTCTGACTGTTTGTGTGTGTGTGTGTGTCTGACTGTGTGTCTGTGTGTGTGTCTGACTGTGTGTGTGTGTCCTGCCTAGGGCAGCACAAAACCAGGATACACCACTGCTCACATTGTAAGTATATTACTGTCAGTAGAAGCCATATTGTCATAAGGGACTGATAAAGTATCAACAGTCATCGCACCAGCAAATGGTAGAATAATTTCAGAAATTACCAAAAGTAAACACGATACAGGCTTCAGGTAGAGCTATAGATAGGATAGATACCAAGGTTGCAGTACCATGGGCCAGGTGTAAAGCATTGCAGCAACACTGCACTTGCATTGACGAGAATAACATTAGGCTCTGCGGTGTCCAGCTGTCTGTTTCAATCAGCAAGATGCCAGCAGAGTGTAAAATTATAACAGATGATTCCAGTTGATGTGGGAATAATTTAACATTTTTCCTCCTCACAGGTCTGAACGCATTAGAGCATGTTCTATACATATTCAACCCCCTCCCTGCTTCCCTAACAGCAAATTCTGCAGTCATCCTTGGCACATCTTTGTAACGTGTCTTGCACACAAACACTGCTTTTAACACAAATCTGCAATGCAGAGTGATAACACTTTCACTGCAAAAAAAAGCTCACTGCACTTAACCTCAGGACATACACACTGAATCACATTCTTACAATGAAGGTAAGGGTGTGAGGTTCAGTATTCTCCTGCTGTGGTAAGTGACTTTTATAGGGCCACAAGTGATTTTAACAAATGAAAAAGTTATATAGCTCAAAAAACTCAAATCACATTTTTACGAACACACCTAATAGCTTATTTTTTTTTTATTTTGAAAATGCATTTTTATTAGCAATGTCAGATGTAAGCAATTATATTGATGACAAACAGTGAACAATAAACATTTTGGCAAACTAGGTAAGGTTATGAATATAAACGTTTATACAATAGTCGACATTCCAAACATTTTGAGTGTAAATTCTTAATTACAAATCCCCCCCCCAAGTAAAACCCAACCCAATAACCTTAACATGTAGCCCCTCGCTTAGGTCCATCAGCCCTCGGTTTTGTACTTCCATCCACTCTTCCTCCCAGAACAAGAAATTGTAAGGTCAAGAGACACTATGATCACTTGTATGATAGGTATATTATTGTTTTGAGGCATGGGACAGTCACCCCAACCTGGAAGTATGGCAATAACCCGTAAGCCAGAACTTGTTTCTTTTATGCCATATATAATAAGCCATAAAACAAGTAAAATAGTAACTATAACAATTTACCAGGGTGCCACTGACCCATACCATTCTGCCAAAGCAGTTAAGTAGGTAAATGTCTTAAGATGTATTTTGTAAAGGGTCATGACCCACTTCCACCTCCACCAAGAACCACACCATGTACTCCAGGGTTGTTTTGATCCTGGACTGAAAGGAATTGTCCAAAGTGGAAATCTAAAATTGACATGTTTGGGAAAAAATTTTAATTAGGATTTCTTTGCTGAAGAAAAAAAGTGTTAAAGTGTTCAGCCACTCCATTTTGAACAGAAAGCCAAGTTTAGTTAAAAATACATGTAAAGATGGTGCACCTGGCTGGTTCCAAATCTGGAGTATAGTATCTGGATTTTTGAGGAAAGTGGTGCCCTGATCATGGTCGTCTATCCTGATTTTAGACAGTTTTTGAAAGTAATTATAGAAGATTTTATTAATGGAAGTATGAAAAGTACGTCTATGACACTCAGCGAAAACAATCGCTTTTATGGGTTTGAATTTGTTTCTGGAATTGGCCATTAGTTTCTTAGACTTTCCATCTCACGTAAAGAAGTGTTGTGTTTGGAAATTTTATTTTCATGTGCATGATTATGAAATTATTTAAAGTGTATTTTGCACCTTGATTTGTCTGTTTTTTTATAAAGACGTCCGTTAGATATCCAGCACATGAGAATTTCGGATCCAATTCTAGTACTACAAAATCTTTCCACAACCTTTTCTTTGCTGTAAGAGTATTTGACCTCTTATGACCACTTTGGATGTTTTCCCAAAAAGTTTAGGTCCATCTATATGTTCAAGATTGTCGCCCATGAAATTAGCCCAAATAGACTGATGGTGATGAGAGTGATGGGTTATGTGGTTGATGGTTTGTTAGTTTAGTTAGAACTTACCTCTTTTTAACGGATGTGTTTGATGTTAAAAGAGAAGATCTGGAAGACATCAGAGTCAGCTGATACCTTGGCATGGGAAGCTTTGTAGCAGAGAATGGGTCTCCGTCCGTCTCATTTCATGCAGACAGAAAGTCCCAAATATTTAATCGGGTGAAGGGTTCTGTGGATCCGAAAACCTTGAGGCCATCTGGACAGAAACTTAAACCAAAAAGAGCGGGTATTCTTGGAGTTACTGTTCCTCTCAAATAGGTGAGGAGTGGACAGACGGTCTTGGTGAGAGCATCATACAGGCAAGCAAATCCTTGTTTAGAAATGTTGTTGCTTCTCCACAGATGTGGTAGAGAAAGCTTGGTTTGTTATGTTTAGGTGTAGTATAACAGAATAGAAGAGAGAAATATGCCCTTTTTGTGTAGTGCTGTGCAAAGCTCAGCATCTGAGTGACCTGTGCCGAAAAATCATTGAAGATTAAAATATTGCCTTGGTAAGTTGGATGGGCTGTGTGCTTATAAGCAATAAGAATTTGTACGATGTCGTAAAGATTCAGAAATTTTGCTATAATAGGTCATGGCTTAGAGATTTTATCTGGTCTTGTTGGGCCAAGTCTATGTCTGATTTCAATGGTGAGGCAACAATGGCTACTTGGAGCATATCCAGCAACCAGGATTGAAGAGTAGAGCTGTCACTTGTCCTTAAAGATTCTGGAAAGCTAACAAATTGTAAATTGGTTTTCGAGATCATCAACTTTTTTTTGTAATGATGTTAAGGTATTTTGTTGCAGTCTTTCTTGGCTGGTCTTGGTGGCTTGCTTTTAGGCCTTTTTAATCAATAATTCTATCCACAGCGATTGAACGGAAGTAATGATAAAAGGAAATGCCAAAGAAGAAGTGTGCTGTCAAGTGATCTTGGATCGAGCCAGTTCTGTTATGAAGGGATGTAGTCTGTTCTAAAAGTGTGATTGTCTTTTTTGTTTGGTCAGGTGTAGTCAGTGGGAGTTAGTAGGATCTGTGTTTAAGGGAGTGCGAAATGTCTGTTGCGGGGTGCCAGCTTAACAGAAGGAAAAGTGTGAAAGCTCAAATGAGTTGAGCATAATGGAGAACTAGATTTCACCGAGTCTTAGTGAATTAGAGAAGAGTATAGTACTTTGGGGTCACCCCCTTAAATATGACTTGTGATATTAGGGGTATCAGCAGATGAGACCTGTGAGGTTGGTCAGTGATTTGAAGGATTAATGTTTTCATCCAATAATATTTTGGAGTAGCCGTTTGTGTGAAGTAGAAATGCAGAGCAAAACAAAAGTCAACCAATATATATGCTTGCTCAAGTAGAGAGACACACGTTAATACTACTTTGCATATAGAAGCAGTTCATGTGAAGTTACATAAGGAACAGAAATGCTTATCTGATGCAAACTAATTGTAGAAGAGGCTGGTGTTTTGGATTGCAGAGAAAAACCCCAAAACCCGTAATAAAACAAAAATGAAGTATACACATGTGGTCCAGCTGGTGCATCGGTTGCTAGTGTTGAAATAGGTAGCTTTATCAGAAGTGGTTTTGGAATTTTGTGACTGTGTGTCAACTTGAACCAAAAAGGCTTAGCATGGCCTGGGCAAATCACTATATAGCCAAGAAAGCCTGGTAGAAAATGGCAAAATTGTGAGGGTCAAGCTAGTTTTGCAATGTGAGAAGAATCCCTTGTGAATCAAATGGGTAACAATGTTTTGAGGTGGAAAGGGAAGTACGGCCTGTATTAACAACTGGAAGAGGGTATCGCACATGCCAAAAATAGGGCTACTCTCACCAAGTTAAGCGGGCCGAACTCCCTGTGAATGCAATAGAAGAAACAATACCTGGGCACAACTTAAGGTTTATTATGAAGGCAGACTTTATTTGAAGTGCAGAATTAAACAAGTTTTGGGCCTACAGCAAGCCTTTATCAAGTCTTAACAAATGTTCGCTAAAAACATTGTTTTTACTTCTGCACTTCAAAGAAAGTATGCCCAGATATTGTTGTTCCTTCTAGTGAAGTATGGCTTGTGATGACTTCACAGATGGAACGCGTGTTGTGCGGCAAGATATTTGTAATTAGCGTGGTTGCCAAATAATTCCTCAGTGTGGACGTAAAGCTTGTGATAGGCCTTAGTTGGTCAAGTTTAGACTAGTGAGGGGCCTGTACTGCAGTAATTGATGAGGTTACTACCGCAGTGTGCAGTCCATTTCCACTGCAGTCTCCTGGTATGGTGGAGCTCATTTGGCCTGTCTGACTTGGTGTGGGTTTAAGGGTGTATGTTGAGGTTGGATGTCCACTTCATAGGCTTGGGCTTCTGGTGCTTCAGGTGGTATCTAGCACTCCTGGGTTCCAAAAACTAAAGCAGGGGATAGAGCGGTGGTTGAAGTGATAAAATATGCGGTTTGTGTGAGAGTAGCCAACTCGCTTGAATGCATCAGATTGTCTGAGCCAAGGAGAAAACGTGGCAAGCCAAGCTGGCCAACGAAACAGGAAGTTCTAATAGCTCAATTTTAAGTGGGATTTTGCTTTGGTTATACCAAAAAAAAAAAAAAAGTTTATGTCTGCCCTTTCTGCTGGTAAAGTGAAGTAATTTTTGCTTTATCGACCACAGTAACACAGCAATTGGACAAGCTGAATGTTTATGGAATGTCCATCACAAAAAAAAAATAAAAAAATGAAATATAAATATATATATATATATATATTACATACATAAAAATAAATAATGTGAAACTTGTGGGGATGTCCGATAGGGAGTAAATGATAACGTGTATTTTCAGGTTAATGCTGAGAACACCTGGACTGTCAGCATGACACATGCAGACAAATTAAATTGTGCAAAATACATAATTAGGCAAACAGGCATCTGATCCTTGGAAAAGGATGTTTATTGGAATACAATCACTCCGCATAGAATCACAACTATTAGAAAATATGAAAATCCTAACCCAAAGAGAACTGCCCTTTCCTCACAACTTTGTCCATATGTGCCATATCTTTCCCCAGCTACAGAGAACTGGAGTCTGCACACCCATTTAGTAATCCCATCACTTTTCTGTAGGTGTAGTGCTCGTCTGCCCCAAGTCACAGACCCAAACAGCCCTAAACATTACATCAATCATGAGCTCCCCTAGTGTTTTACATTCTCAGTTGCTTTCTTCTTTGTATTTCTGGTGCAGATCTGCCACATCATCTTGTGACACACGCCGCCAGCCATCTTCTGCAACATGATACAGGTTCACCACTCCGCCTGAATAAGCATCACGGTATGTAGCCTGGTAGATTGAACGCCGAGCCAATTCTTGTGCCTCCTCTGGCTCTAGGTCATAGCTATATCCTCTGTCCAAGACTCCATAAGCATACATGGATCCAGAACCCACTGAAAATACAGACCCAGAAACTCTATTCCCTTCGCTGTCCACATAATAGAGACCTGAGTGAAAAGAAGAGTAAGAATTAATATATATACACACATTATACTTGCGATTCCTTTTCACTGCATTTCTTAGTTTAACTTTTTGCCCCAAGCAACACTTAACTGCCAAGAATACACTTAATTTGAACCAAACTTTTTCTAAGATGCCAGACACCTGCACATGACTTCACGATTTCTAAATGTGCACTTGGATACAATTTTTATAAAGATGGATGCCCTTAATGGACAAGAATTATGTCTAGGATATCACTTAAAATATAAGATTTTGGGGGGAGGGGGAGCATGACCACCATTCTGAGTGGAAGCAGCTCCTCATTTTTCAAGTACACTACTCAAAAAATAAAATAAAGGGAACACAAAAATAACATCCTAGATCTGAATGCATTAAATATTCTTCTGAAATACTTTGCTCTTTACATAGCTGAATGTGCTAACAACAAAATCACACAAAAAAAAAAAAAATGGAAATCAACCCATGGAGGTCTGGATTTGGAGTCACACTCAAAATTAAAGTGGAAAAACACACTACAGGCTGATCCAACTTTGATGTAATGTCCTTAAAACAAGTCGAAATGAGGCTCAGTAGTGTGTGTGGCCTCCACGTGCCTGTACAACCTCCCTACAATGCCTGTGCATGCTCCTGATGAGGTGACGGATGGTCTGAGGGACCTCCTCCCAGACCTGGACTAAAGCATCTGCCAACTCCTGGACAGTCTGTGGGGGAACGTGACGTTGGTGGATGGAGCGAGACATGATGTCCCAGATGTGCTCAATTGGATTCAGGTCTGGGGAACGGGCGGGCCAGTCCATAGCATCAATGCCTTCGTCTTGCAGGAACTGCTGACACACTCCAGCCACATGAGGTCTAGCATTGTCTTGCATTAGGAGGGCCAACGGCGCCAGCATATGGTCTCACAAGGGGTCTGAGGATCTCATCTCGCTACCTAATGGCAGTCAGGCTACCTCTGACGAGCACATGGAGGGCTGTGCGGCCCCCCCAAAGAAATGCCACCCCACACCATTACTGACCCACTGCCAAACCGGTCATACTGGAGGGTGTTGCAGGCAGCAGAACGTTCTCCAAGGCGTCTCCAGACTGTCACATGTGCTTAGTGTGAACCTGCGTTCATCTGTGAAGAGCACAAGACGCCAGTGGCGAATTTGCCAGTCTTGGTGTTCTCTGGCAAATGCCAAAGTCCTGCACGGTGTTGGGCTGTAAGCACCCCCACCTGTGGACGTCGGGCCCTCATAGAGTCTGTTCTGACCGTTTGAGCAGACACATGCACATTCATGGCCTGCTGGAGGTCGTTTTGCAGGGCTCTGGCAGTGCTCCTCCTGTTCCTCCTTGCACAAATGCAGAGGTAGCGGTCCTGCTGCTGGGTTGTTGCCCTCCTACGGTCTCCTGATGTACTGGCCTGTCTCCTGGTAGTGCCTCCATGCTCTACGCTGACAGACACAGCAAACCTTCTTGCCACAGCTCGCATTGACGTGCCATCCTGGATGAGCTGCACTACCTGAGCCACTTGTGTGGGTTGTAGACTCTGTCTCATGCTACCACTAGCATTAAAAAGTGACCAAAACATCAGCCAGGAAGCATAGGAACTGAGAAGTGGTCTGTGGTCACCACCTGCAGAACCACACCTTTATTGTGGGTGTCTTGCTAATTGCCTAAAATTTCCACCTGTTGTCTATCCCATTTGCACAACAGCATGTGAAGTTGATTGTCACTCAGTGTTGCTTCCTAAGTGAACAGTTTGATTTCACAGAAGTGTGATTGACTTGGAGTTACATTGTGTTGTTTAAGTGTTCCCTTTATTTTTTTGAGCAGTGTAGTAGAATCTGAAAACGGACTTTCTAAGCACTAAACTACCTTACAGTTCCTGAATTGGGAATCCCTGAGAAACATTTTGACATCCATCTTTCACCAGCTGCAGATTTGAAGATGTTTTTACTTGGGCGGCCTACTCCACTATTGGATGTAGGGATGGCGGCTTAACTCCCGTGCTCTATCCGCTCTGTCTTTTGCCTAGTGCCCTGACTCCTCCCCTCTGTAACATTGAGGGGTCATTCTGGTCCCCACCTGGAACGAACAAGCCCTAATGAGCCTCACAAATATCAAAGCAGGTGGAGGACACACTGCTATATCTAAACCTGTGTATCCTGCAAGATGGCTATGTGTCAGAGCCTTAACAACTCATCATTCTTATGTTTCACTTTGACTACATTTGTGCACAGTTCTGTTCTCAGTTGCCAAACAAGCCACAGCTGGGCTGGATACTCACCTTCTGGAGTGAACAAAGAAACAAAGCGGTGAGAGGTTGCAGAAGCATAGCCGCCATTTCAAGTTGCCTTACAAACGCTCCCACCCAGACTAGAAGCCTTTCGGAGTTTGTCCACTCTACACCACCCTTAACAGAGAACATGACTGGAACATTGATGTCCGATTCAGAGTATCGCATACATACCCCTTTGAATGTGCGGATTTGTGGTACCCCTTACAGCTGAGCGCTTACTAAATACAACTCCTTGGCCCATCCTTAGGCCTTTATATAATAGTACTGTAATTTCTGTTTTAACATGTGCCTTCATAAGATATAAGGGTCCTCAGTGATCTCAGCTACGTATCAAGTTACTTTTGTTTTGTAGCTATGTTAATGCTACATTATCCTGACTGATTGTTTCGGATTTTATGGACATATGTCTATATGAGATTGTATCATTGCATAACAAAAATTATATGATAAGCAGGGTACAGAGACCGCTACATACAGTCTCCAATAATTACAGCTTATCTCCTACACAAGATGTGTATTTTTAGCATGATGTAAAATTAGGAAAATTTAATTATTTCCTTGAAAAAAATAAGTTTTAAAAAAATACAGAGACAATGCTAAAATGGTTACAATTTAAATAACTAGGTTTTAAAGTATTATATTCGCGGTGTGATTTTGTAAAACATGTATATAATCTTCCATATTCCATACTGTTGAAAGACATACAGAATTAACCATTACATTAAGTGGCATTGGGCAGCATAGCAATCGAACGTCATACATTGTCACTCACCAGGACCTCTCTTATCCCAGCCAGAGATCATGGTTCCCATAGACAATCCCATTCCTTTATATTGGTACACCATATTAGCCAGAAGCTTGGATGCAGCCGCTACAGAAATGCGCTCCTTATTCCTCAACTCATAGATGCGACACTGTCGAGCTAAGAGCCGCTCCCAGAAACTGCAATCAGCTGCCCCTCCAGCCATTGTGCCCAACAGGTAGGGATTAATTTCAATCACTTTCTTCACTGTCTGTGAGGCAATGTAGGAACCTGCTGTGGCACGTGAATCAACAGCCACAATTACTCCATGTCGGAACTAAAAGTAAAACACAGGGATCCATTTGTTAAGAAGAATACTTGTACCATCAGAAAAATAAAACACAAGTATAGCCAGCGTTTGTGAATGAGCTGCAAAGTATAAACTGGTTTAAATCCCTTAAAGGGACACTCCAGACGATAATCTTTAAGTGTGTTCACCACATCAGATTCCAGCTGCAAAACAAAGATCAGTGACCAGAAATTCCACAGATGAGATTTAATAATTCTGCAATAAAATGCAATCTTAATATTAAAGCACAAACATGCATTTAAACCAACTAAGGACCACTAAAAGGCACCTAGACCACTTTATCAAACAGTGGTTCTTTCGTTTTAATCCTGCAATGTACAGAATTTCTGCTTAGTAGATACAGCAATGCTTACATTGCAGGGTTAAATACACATCTAGACAGTCACTATAGGCCTTTCTGCTGTGATAACAGAGTCAAACTTAGGCACAAACACAATGGAAGGGAGAGCGGGGAGATCTGGGGTGAACATGCCACTATTCTGGGAGGTGGTGGACAATAGTTTCCAATTCTATAGCCAGGCCCCATTAAAAAGTAAAGTACCGTATATACTTGAGTATAAGCAGAGTTTTTCGGCACATTTTTTGTGCTGAAAAAACCCCCACTCGGCTTATACTCTAGTCAATGTCTGTATTGTGGCAATTTACATTGCCACTCTGCAATTTACATTGCCACAATACAGACCAGGACCGCCGGGCTCATTACAAGCCCGGCGGTCCTGTTGGGGGCTGACAGTGAGCTCTTACTTACCTTCCTGCAGCTCCCTTCTCCTCCGTGCAGCTCCCCGGCCAGCTCCGTTCTGCTTACAGTGAAACGGAGCTGACAGAGGAGCTGCACGGAGGAGAAGGGAGCTGACAGGAGCTGCAGGAAGGTAAGTAACAGCTCTCTGTCAGCCCCCCCACTGAACAGCCAATGCCACTGGACCACCAGGGATTCAATATTATTTTAATATTTTATTTGAATAAAATAATATTAAAATAATAATATTATATTATTATTTTAATATTTGCATTATTTTTTTTTTAAATGTTTTTTTGTCCCCCCTCCCTGCTTGTTGCCTGGCCAGGTAGGGGTGACAACAAAACATTTAAAAAAAAATAATGCAAATATTAAAATAATATAATAATATTATTTTAATATATTATTTTAATATTTGCATAATTTTTTTTTTAAAAATTTTTTTTGTCACCCCTACCTGGCCAGGCAACAAGCAGGGAGGGGGGACAAAAAAAAAATGCAAATATTAAAATAATGTTATTAAAATATAATAAAGTAATATTAAAATATATTAAAATTGAAAAATTAAAATAAAAATGCCCTCCCCTCACCCAGTTTACACACTCTGCGTCACACACACACACACTCTGCATTCATTCTATACACACACACACACTCTGCATTCATTATACACACACACACTCTGCGTCACACACACACACACTCTGCATTCATTCTATACACACACACACACTCTGCATTCATTCTACACACACACACTCTGCATTCATTCTACACACACACACTCTGCATTCATTCTACACACACACACTCTGCATTCATTCACACACACTCTGCATTCATTCTACACACACACACTCTGCATTCATTCTACACACACACACTCTGCATTCATTCTACACACACACACTCTGCATTCATTCTACACACACACACTCTGCATTCATTCTACACACACACACTCTGCATTCATTCTACACACACACACTCTGCATTCATTCTACACACACACACTCTGCATTCATTCTACACACACACACTCTGCATTCATTCTACACACACACACTCTGCATTCATTCTACACACACACACTCTGCATTCATTCTACACACACACACTCTGCATTCATTCTACACACACACACTCTGCATTCATTCTACACACACACACTCTGCATTCATTCTACACACACACACTCTGCATTCATTCTACACACACACACTCTGCATTCATTCTACACACACACACTCTGCATTCATTCTCACACACACACTCTGCATTCATTCTACACACACACACTCTGCATTCATTCTACACACACACACTCTGCATTCATTCTACACACACACACTCTGCATTCATTCTATACACACTCTGCATTCATTCTATACACACTCTGCATTCATTCTATACACACTCTGCATTCATTCTATACACACTCTGCATTCATATCTGCATTCATTCTATACACACACTGCATTCATTCTATACACACACTGCATTCATTCTATACACACACAAACACACACTCTGCATTCATGCTATACACACACACTCTGCATTCATTCTATACACACACACACACAAACACACACTCTGCATTCATTCTATACACACACACTCTGCATTCATTCTATACACACACACTCTGCATTCATTCTATACACACACACTCTGCATTCATTCTATACACACACACTCTGCATTCATTCTATACACACACACACACAAACACACACTCTGCATTCATTCTATACACACACACTGCATTCATTCTATACACACACAGGGGCCTCGGCTTATATTCGGGTCGGCTTATATACAATGTGAGCATGATATCGCTTTTCTTCAGCAGGATTTAGACAGATTGGGGCACTAGGGACTCAAAAAGTTGATGAAATTTGAAAGGAACACTATAGTCACCAGAACTATAGCTTATTGTATTTGTTCTGGTGAATTTAATCATTCCCTTCAGGCTTTTTGCAGTAAACACTGTCTTTGTCTTTTCAGAGAAAATGCAGTGTTTACATTACAGTCTAGGAATACTTCCACTGGCCACTTCAGGTTCTTCCTAGGGCAGTACTGCACAGTACTGACATTCAGTGTCTCCATCCTCTTCATGGAGACACTGAGCATTCCTCACTGATAGAATGCATCTCTATGATGAGATGCTGATTGGCCAGGCTTGTGCTGGCTCTGCCTCTTTGAGGAGCTCAGTAAATCCAATGCTTTCTTATGGGAAAGCATTGTGATTGTCTAAGAGAAGCACTTCTGAAGTTGTCAGCCAAGCAGACAGACCCATGGGCAGAAATCGGCAGCAGACTGGAAATAAGGCAAGATTTTAATACAGTTAGGGGAGCAGATGGTAGCTTTAATACATGAGTGTGTTCCTTACCTTATAGTGTTACTTTAATGTAGAAAAATGCTAGGTTGTGCATTTTGGGGTAAAGAATGTACCAGCAACTTATATGGTAAGTGACTTAAGGATAAAACACGAGAAGGATGTGGGAATTGTTATACACAAACTAGGCAGTTGCCAAGGCCAGTAAGGTATTGTTATGTATAAATAGGTGCATTAATACACAGAATTAAAATAATTAAAATACAATTTTGGGAACCTGTTCTAAAGAAGACTATTATGGCGCCAGAAAAAGTGCAGAGGTGAACAACAAAAGTAATAAAAGGAATGAAGCAATTTAGTTATGAAGAAAGGTTAATAAATTTAAATCTCTTTAGTTTTTGAAAACCGGCAGCTCAGAGGAGATTTGATAGCATTCTACAAATATATTTGCGGTCAATCCAATCTATTGTCTGGAAATCTATTCATAAGCAGTACTATACACATGGTCACATATTTAGGAGGTTTAATCCAAGGCAAAGGAAAGGTTTTGTTTTTTTTACAGTAAGAACAATAAGGATGTAGAATTGTCTGCCTGAAGGTGTTTAAAAAAAAAAAAAAAAAAATATAAGGCTACTGATGTATAGACAGCAATTGGATACATACTTGCAAAAAACATAATATTCAGGGATATAATGTTTAATTAGTGGGGCAATAGCTTCTTGATCCAAGGAAATATCAAACTGCCATTCTGCGGCCAAAATGGGTTATTTCGCCTTCTTTTGGATCAACAGCAAAAACAGATGTGAGAAAGGCTGAACTTGATGGTTGCATGTCTCTTATTAACTATAACTAGATATCAGCTATGACATCACTATGTAATATCAATAATAGCGCTCTGATTAGTGGACTTATAAGCCACTGAACTCACTTCGAGACTTGGCTGTCAGAGTGCTCTGATTGGTTGATTTACAAGCAACCAATCAAAGGGCTCTTACTGATATTACATAGTGTAGGAAAATCTCCCAAACCAATGTAATAGCGGACAGTGTGGGAAATCCTTTATAAGGGGTTTTTCAGCTATCAGAGATCAGTTGGAATTAAGTCCTTGCAGGGTGCAGACAGTGATTTATTTTATTGTGCTACGTTTTTGGAAATTTTCCGTCTTTATTTCAGTTGCGTCTACAACTCACTATTATTAGGGTGAGGGTTGGCAAGTAGGGACATTCATTTCTTTTATCGGGTGGCTATGGATTTGGGGACCCATAGCCACCCAGGTAAGTAGAAATGCCATTATTTTGTTGGGGGACGGACAATAGCATGCCCACTCCACTTGTTGAATGAGCCACCAAAAGTCGCCCATGGTTTGGACGGGGGACACTATGTTCACATCCTGAATATTCATTTTAGGACATCTAGTAATTCACATTATCATTTTCTTGCATGAAAGTAAACATTAGTTCGAAAATGTGCTTCCTTCTCGATGCATTCATCACACATTTTATTAAAACTTATGTTTTGTGATTCTTCCTATCCCATCCTTTTCTTAAAGGACCACTCTAGGCACCCAGACCACTTCAGCTTAATGGTTAACCCATTTTTTTTTTTTTTTATAAACGTTTATGAATGGGTTAAGCCTTCCCCCATTCCCTCTTGCGGCTGTCTCATTGACAGCCGCTAGAAGCGCTTGCGTGCTTCTCACTGTGATTTTCACAGTGAGAGCACGCCAGCGTCCATAGGAAAGCATTGTAAATGCTTTCCTATGCGACCGGCTGAATGCGCGTGCAGCTCTTGCCGCGCGTGCGCATTCAGCCGACGGGGAGGAGAGAAGGAGAATCGGAGGAGGAGAGCTCCCCGTCCAGCGCTGGAAAAGGGTAAGTTTTAACCCCTTTCCAGAGCCGGGCGGGAGGGTGTCCCTGAGGGTGGGGGCACCCTCAGGGCACTATAGTGCCAGGAAAACGAGTATGTTTTCCTGGCACTATAGTGGTCCTTTAAAATATGTGCTTTCGCATTTGAATTGAATTGCTGCAGATTTGCTCAGGTCAAATAAATTCAGATGGCTTTTTACGAATATAAGAATTGCCATTGCGATCTGAATCCATTTTACAGTGCTACAGAATTTGCTGGCGCTATATAAATAATAATTCAGTAATTTTCACTGGATTATGTCCGTCCAGGCAAAATCTGGTGTTTATGTACACCAAATTGGAAAAACATGCACTTGTTAATAAAAATAGGAACCAAGGAAAGAGATCCTGTCTGGAGCTTCAGTTGGCTCTCCTGAACCAAACCATTGGGGGCCAAATCATTGACTGAGAGCAATGAGTTTTGCTCAATATTCTTAAACCCATGAGACTCACTACGAATATTAAATGCCTGAAATTTAATATATTAAAAGCCAATGTATTGAAACAGATTGAAAATAAATTTATAAAAAAAAAAAAAAAAAAAAAAAACTTTATGAGTAGCTGAATGATTTCTCATTGTAACAGCAGTGAATATAACAATGTAAGGCAGTGCTGGCAGTACCTCTCATACATTGTACACATACTGTATATATATATATATATATATATATATATGTAGCTCTGCTACAGAGAGAGAGAGAGAGAGAGAGAGAGAGAAAGAGAGAAAGAGACACAGACTCTCTGCCTGTCTCTGGATGCACACTGTCCATACTGTCCATGTAACCCGCATTGAGATGAGCACTCCCTACAATACACACATTGCATGTTACCATGTTAATCCAGGGCCGGCCGGGCGGCATGCAGCAGCCATTATATATAACAATGAGCATTACTGTCACCATGAGTGTGCACCTTGAAAGCCAGCGTTGTTGTCCCGTGAAGAAACTCGATCCCGGGGTCAGCGACCTCCTGGGTGGCTCCGGGGGCCATGTGGAAGCTCATCTCTCCGTCATGGCGGGCATACTGACACGGATTGTCCCGCGGCTGGTTCCACAGGAGACCCTCGGACCGCACTACACTAGCCAGCGCCATGTTTAATCTGGGACAGGCGGAGAGCGTGCGCGCACAGACTGCTGCACGTGACGTAATACGTCCGCACGATGATAAAGCAGAACTGGCAGACATATTAAAAGAGGGCATGACGAGAGAGCGTCCTATCGCCCACGTTCGTGGCAGCCATTTTGGACGAGGGCACGGTTATGTTGTTGTTTTTGGCCTACCCATCCCTTCATTTCTCACCCTTAAAGCGGCACTGTCATGCCGAACTTACCTTTCCTCAATCTCTTCCTCTTCTCCCCCCCTCTCAGGATCTGTTATTCTTTTCTTCCTGTCTTCTTTAGTTTTCTTTAAAATCATAAGACAAAGTAGGGACTCTTTGCCTTATGGAGGATTCCTCCGCTTGACCAGCTCTGACCAGCGGAGGAGCAAAGTGTGCTTCATTTCCGCCGGTCAGAGCAATTTTCCCATGATCCCTAGCTTTCCTCTGTGTTCCCACAATGCTTCCTGTCACTTTCCACAAAACTGCCGAATTGCGTTCTAACTGAATGAGAACAGTCTGTTCGTTTCTTTTAGAACGCAATTCGGCATTTTATTCGGATCGGAATTTCATTCTAATGAATGAAACTCTGATCCTATTCATTGCTGTGGCTGCATCTTGCAGCCGCTTAGTAGATAACTCCCTAATTCCCCACGGTATCAGGGAGTTATCTACTAAAAGGCTGAAAGACCTAAATTGGTCTTTCAGCCACATTTACTAATACTAAGTAAAGATTACTTAGTATTAGTAAATTCTGCCCCTACTAGCTATGCAGCGAGTAGGGGCATGTCTAGTAAGCAGTGAGCAGCCCGTGGCTGCTCACTGTGTAATTGATTGGCCCCTTTCACCCCCAAATGACGGGTGGGGCCCTAGTGCAATATAAGGGGAGACCAAAATGACCTAATCCCCCCTCACGCCCCCACCCCCTGGCTGGCAGGGGCAATAATGAGAATGGGGGGAACCACTGTCCTCCCCCCACCCTCATGGTGGGGCCACAATGAGGGGGGGGACCCACTGTCCTCCCCCCCTCCGGCCCCCACCCCTGGGTGGCGGGTGGGGGCCCTAAGTCAATTGCCCCCCCCCAAGGTGACTAGGGGTCCCCAAGCCCCTAGTCACCCACCCCCCACCCAAAAAAAAACAAGTCCCTACCTACCCCCCTCACCCTAAAAAATAGTGAGGGGGGATAAAATAACTAACCTGTAAAATAAAATTAAACTTACCATTCGACGTCTTCTTTTTTCTCAAATCTTCTTTTTCAGCCCCAAAAAAGGCCAAATAAAAAACCATCATAACCGTCGAATTGAAAATAAAATAAAAATCC